CTCTGGAAACTCTGTGAACCTGGAGAGGGGATGAAAGACACACAAGCGTTGAGGACTCTCCTTCATAGGGTGGCTATGAGTCGCCTGCAACTTGATGGCACTTAACAACAACAGGAGAGATTAAAATAGATGAATGGGACCTTCTAAGAATCAAATACCTATACACATCCAAAAACTTCTTCAAGAGGTTAAAAAGGGAACTCACAGACTGGGATAAAATATTTGTCAATGACTTATCTGATAAGGATCTTATATCTAAAATTTACAGAACATTCTCACCTCAAGAAAAAGGTAAGCAACCCAATCACAAATTGGCACAAGATATGAATTGACACTTCACCAGAGAAGGCATTCAAATGGCAAATACACATATGCAGCAATGTTCAAAATCCCTTGATATCAGAGAGATGCAAATCAAAACAACTATCAGGTACTATCTCACCCCAGCAAAAATAGCAAAGTTCAACAGGGCAGCAAACAACAAATTCTGGCAAGAGTGTGGACAGATTTAAACTCTTATGCACTGCTTGTGGGAATGCAAAAAAGGTAAAACCACTATGGAAGCCAATCTGGTGCTTTCTCAAAAACTTGGAATTAGAAATACCATTTTATCCAGCAATTCTGCTACTGGGAATATAAAGAAACCAGAGCCATGACTCAAAAGGATGGATACATACCCATACTTATTGCTGTGTTATTCACAAGTGCAAAGAGCTGGGAGCAACTCAAGTGCCCATCAATAAACAAAAGGATAGAAAAACTATGGTACATCCACACAATGGAATATTATGCAGCCTTGAAAAACAATGAACTAATAAGACACTACATTACATGGGTGAAAATGGAGGACATTACTGAGTAAAATGTTTCAATTATAAAAAGACAAATATTGCATAACACTGCTGTTATAAAATAGGACTGACATGGAGACTTGGAGGGAAAGTAGGAAGAGAGTGCATAGATAATGAACACTGTATTGGGACAGATGAGGGAAAGAAGAGTCTGAAAGGAATATGTGATTAGACATTATATGCTTGATAACACTCCGGTACAAGAGATACATTGCAGATTTGACTGGGGTAGGGAGGAGGAAATGGAGGGAAGAAAATGTGCAACAATAAATTAGTAAATTAAAAAAAATAGTTTTAGTACTAATTTTACCACTTCGTAGATAACTAAGGATTTGATACTTGAACAGTTTAACTTGTCTTTGTTTAAGCATGTTAAAGCATGTTATCAAACTTCACAAATAATTTTGAAATTAGTATCATGAGAGTTTTGTGTGGCCACTTTGCAGTTATAGATGAAAATTTCAGGTAAAGCAGTCTTCATCTGTGTGAGAACTTAAGCACTGAAAGAAGAAGTTTTTGTTTTCATATTTAGACTTCCTCTCCAAGACTGTTCAGTTTGTTCTAGTCTTGGAGAAACCTGAAAGTATTCTTTCTATTTTGAATGTCAATGACTCAAACTCATTCAGATGTATTTCCATTCAAGTCATTGCACCAGGAAAAGACTCTTTCACCTAACCCATTTCTGTGTGCCAAGAAACTCCAGAAATCATTTCCATGTTGAAATTTCAGGGTGGGAATGGAAAGACTGAAAACACCTTCCTTGTCATTGGGGCATAACGTGCTAGAGAGATGGACTTAACTATGAACATAATAACTCTTCTTTTTAAAATTCAGACCTCAGAATTGATTTCACAAACTATCAAAAGCATATTAATTTAATTAATGACACCAGGCATTTCTGGGGTTGCTAATCTGGTGAGCAAACAATGTTTCATAAGTATAAAAAGTGAACAATTACAATGGATTTTAGGAGAGTGCTGCCTAGTGAAAATTAGATTTGTTTTCTCTTTTTTAACTTTGAGGATACACCGTTGTTGTTTGTTGTTATGTCCTTTCAAGTTGATAATGACCATAGTGACCCTATAAAAAACAAAACAGAGTATTACCCTGTCCTGTGCCATCTTCATAATCTCCAACATCCATGAATTGTTCCACATTGTTACAGTCAATGTGTCAGTCTATGTTTTTTAGTTGTTTCCTTTCCTTCTCTAACTCTCCACTCCCCCACCCCCCAGCATAATGTCTACATAATGAAGACTGTTATGTGTTTGTAACTTGATCTCAAATGTAGCTGAACAAGACGGGATAAATGCCATTTCTGGAGATAATGCATTTATAGATCATGACAGAAAGAATAATAGCTAAGACTCTACAACTAAGAATAATCAAAAGATACTGCAGCAACAAAAAAAATTGACTTTTAATATTTGTTTACCAGTTCATTGTCTCGTACAGAAAAAAAGAAAACATTGTTTTGTTTTGTTTTAGTACAGATTGGTTTTTCTCTTCAGATTTATACTTAGAATGTATTAAATGCCTTCAAATACTGATTTTCTTTTAATTGGATGTCTTATTGACTCGCATTTTTCCCCCACCCCTTTTGTTGTACATTATTACTACTCTGGCAGTAGTGAGCTATGACGCAGATGACTTCTCAATGAAAATATATCACCTACTCATTGATCTTCTCCATGCAATTCTCCATGCATTCTGCTGAGGATTGGTAGGTAATTCCTTTGCAATCCTCTCCTTCTTGATGGTCAGTTACTCCAAGAGACCATCATATTATTTGGAGCACTGAAGGCAAGAAATCCAGTACGGCTGCCAGCAACCAAACTGGAATCTTCATTGAGTGTAGTCCTACTTGCTAAAATAATAAGCAGCTATATCTTTTTTATAACTAGAACTTTAACAGGTACCAGCCCCCTTTCAATGAGAGAAAGTTTGAGTTTACAAATACCATATTTGACTAAAAATTACTGTGATAAAAGATGGCAGCAGTCATTGAAATATGGCTTCCAGTGTTAATGTGACTAATTTGTTTTCATTCCTATACTGTCTTTTATGTGGATTAGTTTTATTCGTTTGGGTCTTCAAATGGAGGCATCTCAGTGAATTTTTTTAGGTACATTTTTTCTTTATTTGGATCACAAGTGTTAATTATGGACAAAACGATCAAAGCAAGATTTCCTAACCCAACCTCCTATCATATTCCTCTGTTATTCTTACAATCCAAGTCTGAGGAGCATATCCAAATCAGTCAGTGCTGTATTGACTTTGCAATTATTTTAGGAAAACCTTTCTCTTTCAGACATTTTCAGTGAGACACATGGGAGAATAAAATATGAAAGCAATACCAGATGGAAAACTGTAACATGAGAGCATGGAAAAATCTCTTAATTAAGTAGGAGTCCAAAAGAGATGGGGATTGTGATCCTAAATTTAGGGGAAGCGAGAGGTTAAAATTCTGCCCAGCAGTTTTCATTCTGATAAGATTTTCGTTTTTATAAGAATGAAGGGGGGGGGGGAAATGGTGTTCAATCGGTATAGATTTTAATCAGCTAACAGTTGTTCCAGAAATTTTGAACAGCACCATTTCTTATACTAGTAAGTATTCAAAAGTTAAGAAATGTTACTATGCTTAACATTATAAAGGTAGAGTTCTGCAGTAGTAACTGAAAATTATACATCTACTTCAATAGAAATTTGTATTTCTAAGAAAATATTTGTAACAATACATAATAACTCTTCAAATATGGGCTTTCTTCAAGGAGCTGGCCCCATATTTGAGGCATTAGGCTTGCTATTTCAGAGATAATGTCTTCTTAAAGTAGTATATTTTTCAGATCCTAGCCTATCCAGGGCTCCTTAATTTGCACCAGCAGTATTTGAATTAAACCTGACAATTTCTTTGGATTTTCTAATTTTGTACAATCTGCATAGGCATCCTAATTTAAAAACATACATGCATACATTGTCATATTTTAGTATTAAAGTATCTGCAAATTTCCAGATATGCTCTTGATGAAAGTAATGCTCTACTTTTATTTACAATATTTTGTCTAGACAATATATAACATCATTATAGTTTCATGGACTTCCAATTTTCGATACTTCCCACATACAAAGCTCTACATTTATAGAATAAATTTATTAGCATTATTACACAGAATTAGATGCAACTAATCAATCCAGAAAACAGATTTATTTACTCATGTTCATGGGAGAAAAATCTACATTAAAAAATCACTCATGACATCATACCAGCTATGTCATACTTTGATTATTGTGCTAAATTCCATTTATTAGAACTTATTTTGAAACAATGGGAAACCCATGAGTTGTAATTTGAATACAAATATTGGTCCCTGTGGGGTCTCAACAGTCAAAAGAAGGAAAAAAAATCCCGTAAGAAAACAGCTTTGTAAAAGACTGGAGTTGCTAATGTGGAACTTTGTTTCTTTGAAGCTGGACTTACTTTTTCCTTCACAGCCCTGAAGGCTTTAGAGTAAACTCTTTGATGACAGTTCAACATTTCATTTATGCTGAATGCAGACCAGCAAGGAAAGTGCCACCACAGAGCATTTTCTAACTTGGCAAAGTTTAAAAGTATAGTGTTAACTTCCCCCCCCTACACATAAGCACCAGTAGGGCTTTATAGTGTGTGTGTGTATACAAATAGGAATAATATGTGTTTGAAATTGGGTCTTTATTTCTTGGCTATGCAAGTTTGTAATTATTCATCCCTCTAATGGTTTATCTTCTATGCAATGTAAATAACAAAGAAATATTAAATAGTTTAAAGTTATTTTTATAGGTTGCTAACATTTCATAAGCTAACATAAAATCAAGCTGCTAAATTTTACAATTTTTCTGTCCAGCAGTTTATCTATAGAACTGCCCTGAGTAGATGCTAAATGCTGCTTAGCAAACGGCCCTTAAAATTTTAAATATAACTCAGTAAAGCTACTCAAAAGATAATTCTTTTCAGACGTGTCATTTTATTAGAAGGTAAGATTCTCTCATAGGTTAAATATTATTTGCTTATTTAAGTTAATTAACTTGTACTTCATACAAATGGGCTTATTAAGGAGTTTTAAATGTGCTTATTACTATACGTTGGAGTCCATTATGAAATTTTACTTTGTCTTTTTGGTCACAAAGGCAGGATTCTAAAGAGTCTGTTGGAGACTGGAAATAGTAAGTTTTAGAAAGTTGTGTATATTGTTCCCTTTGAAACTGAGTTTTGAGCAACCTCTCAGAATCTTCGTTTATGAAAAGAAGCCTATGTTTGAAATCTGTTTCCTCTAATTTGTGTGTAATAGTGCACTTCAAAATTGTACAAATGTGTAAAATTTGTGCTTGTGGAAGCTGCTGCTGTGAGTAGCTTTACTTTCCATAATTCTAACTCTAGCACCCTCAAGCTATTGCATGCCCCAGTCACAGAAAAAATACTTGGTGGAGATGTAGCCTAAACAGCTGGGCTCTACAGCCTCCTGACATAGCGCTTCCTTTAAAATTATATTAATTTATAATATATATTGAATGATAGCTTTACAAAAAAACAAATTAACGAATTGATCTGTATGAAAATGATTCTTTACAGTAAGTAAAAAAAGGGTTATCACAGTTTTGGTAACTTGCATGAGTTCATCTTGAAAACAAACAAACGAAAAACCTTTCACATGCTTCTCTGCCTTTGATGCGCTCTGGAGGCACGCTCAGTTGTATGCTCGGAAACAGTAGACACCGTACAGCTTATGCTTTTTATCTGGAAAGCCCACGAAGCGCACGGCCGCCTCGGTGGGACTGCAGCGCCTTCTGGGCCTGGAGATGGGGTAGCGGACGCTGCCGTCCGCCAGCCAGCCCGCGTCGCAGCGGTCGTAGCCAAGCAGTTTCCAGGCAGCGAATATCTGGCCCACTTTGGCAATCTGAGCACCATCCTTGAGACAAGCTTGCACCGCTTCGTCATAGGTCAGCTTGGTGGGGTGGATCAGGTAGTAAAAACGGCCTATGGTGAGAAGGAGAGAGCATCAATGCGCCTGTCTGTGCTGGAGTCACACAGAGATGAGAAGCGCAGAGGAAGGAAGGGCTTCTCAATGGAGAGGGGGGAACACAGAGCTACGTCTGTGAAGTTTTTGGAACATAGGGTTGTCAATTAAATATAGTAGCCCTAGGTTGCTCGCTGTTAAAGTACTTTCTCCCCCCACGTCCCCCTTTTCTCCTTAATGTGTTCAGGCATGCCCTTTTATAGCTTTCAAGTGAAAAGGGAAATGACAGATGCAGTTTCTGTTAGCTAATTAGTGACTAAAAGAGCCATTCTGTAGCACTAGAGAAGACAGACTTCCCATGTAAAAAAAACAAGAGCTATTTAAATTCTAGCTGTAACAAGGCTGAACCCCAGCACAAGTTTCTGGAGAGGCATAATTTGAATCTGAAAAGATCAAAAGGGATTCCTGACAGAAAAGTCCATTTTTTAAAAAAAGGAAAAAAAAATCAAATACTCTCAAGTCTTTTTCATTACAGGTATCAATAAAACATTATGTTCATTCAAAGACTACAGTCTGAAAATGCAAAAAAAGACAAAACTTAAAACAACAATAACAAAAAACCAGGAAGGCATTCCCCATAAAGAAAACACACTCTGAATATGAACGCGGTCTGCTCATCCACTAGCAAGGAGGGTGGATTTCTTTTTCTCAACTTCCATCTGCTTTGCTCCCTGATGCCTAACCATTTTCTTGACTTCAGAAGAAAAAGCTAGTTTGTTTCAATCCCTTACTGAATAAAGTTAATTACTGAGATGCTTCACATCTGTAAAATATGACACACACAGAATGAAGATTTTCTCTTGCCTCTTAGTTTCAGGCAGAAGACAGACTGCCATCAGATTTCATATTGCAGTATAAAATCTCGGAGCTCCACATTAAATATAGATGCAGTGAAACTCGCTCAGGACTAGCCACCACAGCTCCTCACAGATTATTGCAATATAAATGAATGTTTGCCAGCTTTGTCTAGATTGAGATACTGAGATTTGAAGAAAGGGAAGTGGTCTTTCAAAAATTAGCTGGAAGGTTGGTTTTGTCAGTAATATCACCCATCAGCAAACTATGGTGCACAAGTCATATCTAGCCTCTTACCAGTCCACAAACAAAACTGTACTGAAATATATTCTTGCTCTTTCATTTATCCATTAGTTATGGCTGCGTTTCAAATCCACCAGCTATTCTGTGGGAGAAAGATGGGCAAACTCCTTTGCAATTTAGAGCCTCTGAAAAATCTGCTGAAGGGTCAGCTAGGAGTCATTTCTGACTGATGGCACATAACAAAAATGTGCCTGCTTTTACCTTACAATGGTAGCTGGGGAATAGGCTTTATGGCTTGCAAAGTTAAAAAAGAAAATTTACGCTGCTGCGCATCTCAGGAAAATATATTTCCTGACCTTTAGTGTACAATTTGTTATTTTTCCTAAAAGGAGACTTGTGGTACGGTGATTAAGCATTCAGCTACAAATCAGAAATGGTGAATTTCTGAAACTCACCGGCAGTTCCACTGGGAAAAAGATGTGGCATTTAGGTTTGGTAAAGGTTCACTTGGTTACAGGGTCACTCTAGGACCCTGGCACCACAGCCAGTTGCTAGCTCTAAGGTTGGCAGCTGGAATCCACCAGCACCTTTGTGACAGGATGATGTGCAGTCTCCTTTTGTAAGATTTATAGCCTCATACAGCCTAGCGATAAGAAGTTGTGCTGCCATTCTAGAGGCATGCAGTTCGAATCCACTAGCTGCTCCACAGGAGAAGGATGGGCAGTCTCCTCCTGTGTGACTAATTGCTTCTAAAAACCCACTGCAGTGTTTCAGCTGTGAGTCTGTTTTGACTGATGGTACATAACAACAAGAATAACAACAAATTGGATGGAAGGTCATAATGAGTCAGAAATGGCAAGGCACATGATAGACTTGGGGTTTCACATAGGGTCACAATAAGAAGCTCTAGTGGCTTAGTGTTACCCTAGTAACTAAAAAGTTAGCAGTTCAGATCTACTAGCCAATCTGAGACAGAAAGAAAGGTAGTATTCTCCTGTAAAGATTTCTAGCTTTGGAAACCTCTGATGGAGGGTTATGAGGAGTTGGAATTAAGTCAGTAGTAGTATATTTGGTCAGTTTTAGATGGGGGCTCCAGTGGATTAGTGGTAAGAAAGCGTACTGCAACCCCAAAAGCATGTAGTTCAAATCCAGCAATTGCTCTGCATGAGGAAGGTGGCCAATTTCCACCTGTGTGATTGATTAACTGCCTCTGAAAACCCACTAGAGGGATAGCTATGGGTTGATTCTGATTTGATGGTACACAAAAACAACATGACAACAGCAGGTTTATTTTCCTACATCACAAGACCTGGCTGGTTACATGGAGAAGCATCTTGTGCAATTGCACAAGTTTCTTTTGCTTAAATGGTTCTGCTTGTGGTTTAATGCCCTGCTACCACCATGTTAAAATGTTCAATTTTTTTAAAAGGTTTATGTATTTTCATTTTGCTATGTAAACAGGTCATGTAGCTGATTTTAAGTGAGGCAAGAGGAAGGTTGGGAGTTGTGTGGACTAAGACGAATCAGTTGTCAACACTCATCCAACCTAACTCTTTGCTTCTGGTTTGACTTAGTGAATCGCAGACTGCCCTTTCTTCCTACTTTAAGCACGACTTGCTCAGTGTTATTTCTACTTTCATTTTTCTTCTAGGTTTCCTCTTTATCCTGAGTTTTGCCAATGATCTGTGAGCCATTCTGATGCTGTCTTTAGAGGAGAATGTGAGTGATAGGGACACAGCCCGCGTCCCATACTGAGAAACTCATTCCCAAGGAGTGCCCACAGCGACAGCATCATTTTTTGGCAAAATGAGACCGACCCCCATACAAAATGATGGCTTAAGCTATTCCATAAAAATGAGATGTAATAAAACCTAGGCATAGTAAAACTGCACATTTATCCCTTGAATTATGTGAATATTTAAAAATTTTAGGATGTAAGGGAACATTTTACTGTTTCATCAAATGAGAACAATATTTTAAAACTACTAAGCCCTTTTAAGTAAATAAGATTAAAAGCAAATGTAGTGTTCTGAGATAGGAAAGAAAGGCAATGAAATGAATCTTACCATAGAAGTTGGATGTAAAACAGAAAACATCATATCTGCTTTTATCTTTATCCCAAAACCCGTAGTTCCTGACGCCAGGCACTGTGTTCTGCCCCCCACAAGGCTCTCTGGGTTTTGTGATGGGATATTGCACAGATCCGTCGCTGAGCCAACCAGCATTGCACCAATCTAGCCCGCCCCGCCACGCATTGTACAGCTGGTCAAAGGAAGCAATCACAGCATCCTGGTCCATACAAGCCTGCCGGGCCTCATGAAAATTGAGATTGTAGCGCCCCAGTCGAGGAAAGTAAGGGAACACCACACCTGTTCAAAGAAGAAGGTCAGAAGTTATGAAACGCAGTAAAGTAACAGCTACAAACAAATCGTAATGGGATAATAATAATAAAAAAGATACATTAATATATCTTTTTAAATATATAAATATGAAACAGTTAATTTTCAGTGACTTCTCATTGTGACCCAGGACTCTTCCCCCCTCACACAGTCTCTTTTCTCTCAGCATCTCACAGCTGCCTATTTGGTTTGGTAACTTCAGGAATTTTTCTTTTTCAACAATTCAGCTCAAGCTTAAAATTCTTTACAATTCTATGACTTATCTGCTGGTTATAGCTTTCAAATAGCCCTCCCTGAGAACTTACCCTATGCTAAATGCTTACTAATCTGTTTACACATCACACTCAACTTCTCATTATTGACATGGTTATGTACCAAAAAACCATTATTTTTTATGCCAAAAAATTTAAATTGTTATTATGAGGAAATAGAGGATGCGATCAGATCACAAAATGAAGACAACTACATAAATGTCAAATTACATCATTACACAACTGCCAAATTACTTCAGTACATAATTGCCACTTTTCTCCTTACTGGACCGATTTCACCGCTGTGTAACTGTCAAGTGACATGATTAGATGGTTAAACCATTGCCCAGTCAAACTGACACATAACTAACCATCACGGTCAATGTCATTCTCACTTCAGTTTTCAGTACTGTCAGACATAAATAATGTGCAAAGTAGTTGGATCGTTGATTTTTAAAAAAAATTATGTTTGTAAATGTGAAGTGACAGATAATGAGCTAGTCAATATGTAGAGAATAGACAGGCCTGAGCACATTCACACGGGAGAAGACTAATCGCGCATATTGAGAATGTTAAGGGGAGGTAGAAATAGGGCTTGAGGAGAAGGTATTTATCAAAATTCACAATGTCCTTTTTCATTATCTTCTATATCTGCAATTATTATTTTTAACATTTATTATACTTTAACTGAAAATTTACAAATTTTGGCTTACAATTAATTCACACACAAATTATTATGAGATACTGATTGAAGTTCTCATAATGTATTAGTGCTTTCTCTGTTACCTTTTCCGGTTTACCTGTTTCCATTTCTCTTGTTCCCTGTCCCTCTTTGTCTTCTTATCTATGATTTTGAGCAAATGTTACTCCGTTGGTATTCTAAAGAACACACTCTTTAAGGATGCTATTTTTTTAAACGGTTGCTTCTTAGATCATTGTTTGCTTGCTTTTAAGACCCTAGACACTATAGTAGGATGAACATTCTATTCATGAACTGTGTTTTGTTGATTGGTCTGATTGCTCCCTGAAACTGTGATCCTGTATCTTTAAATCCAGTAGTTTAGTCTCACTGTTTAAGCAGTCTTTATAACTGTGCCCACTATGTATATTATAAATATATGCAGCGTTTATAAATATATATGTAGAGATATCCACAACCGTAGTGATATATAACCACAGATATACTTTCTTATGACCTCCTTTACCTTTTTAACATATATATTGTTCTATATGTGATTTTAATCTGTAGCCCTCAGGCCTGGTTCAAATTGTTCTTTGGGGTTTTTGTTTTCTCTTTTCTTTTTTTTTTGAAACATTCTTCTAGGTGGTATAGCACTGGTCTGTGCATTGCTATACAGAGGTACCTAGTGGTTGCTGTGATGCTAAACACTGTGACACTGATGTGCCAAATGTGATAATGATTACTCATGGTGGACAGTGTTTGGTGGAGCTTCCCGATTAAAACAAGCTTGGAAGCAGGAGTGGCATCCACTTCTGAAATGGCTTGCCTCCATAAACTCTATGAACAGTGCTCTGGTCTTTTATTCATAGGGTCACTATGAGTCGTCTACGACTTGATGGCACCTAACAACAATAACAATGACAACACAGAGCTATGTTGGCCTAGTGGACACAAAGTTATGCTACCAAGCCCAAGGTGGGTGACTTTAATCTGCAGCCCTCAGGCCTGGTTCAAATTGGGTTTTTTTGTGAAACATTCTTCTAGGCAGCATAGCACTGGTCTGTCCATTTGCTGTACAGAGGTAACTAGTGGTTGCTGTGATGCTAAACACTGTGACACTGATGTACCAAATGTGAGAATGGTTACCCATGGTGGACAGTGTTTGGTGGAGCTTCTCAATTAAAACAAGCTTGGAAGCAGGAGTGGCATCCACTTCCGAAATGGCTTGCCTCCAAAAATGCTACGACTAGACAGCACCTAACAACTAACAACATGTTGTTGTTAGTTGTTAGGTGCTGTCAAGTCGCCTGCAACTCATAGTGACCCTATGTACAACAGCCCTAAACTCCGCTCTGTCCTATGCCAATCGCACTGTCTCTGACACTCCCATCCCAATTATCCCAATCACTGAATCAATCCACCTCATAGAGGGCCTTCCTCTCCTGCGCTGTCCCTCCACCCTCCCAAGCATGATGTCCCTCTCTAAGGACCGGTCTCTCCTCACAACATGTCCAAAGTATGTTAGACGGAGCCTCAGAATCCTTGCCTCCAGGGACCCACCCGGTTTAACCCTTGTTTTCCTAGCAGTCCATGGTATTCTCAATACTCTTCTCCAGCACCACAGCTCAAAGGCATCAAATCTCCTTCTATCCTCCTTGGTCATTGTCCAACTCTCTGGGCTCCATAGTTAACAGTCTTAGCACCAGCAGCCAGGAAATTAAAAGGTGCATTGCCATGGGAAAGTCTGCTGTTAGGGACCTCTCCAAAGTGCTGAAGAGCAATGGTATCTCTTTGGAGACTAAGGTGCATCTGAAACAGGCCATGGTCTTCGCAATCACCTGTTATGCATCAGAGAGTTGGACAATGACCAAGGAACTAACAACATAGACTCATAAATTATTGTGCAGTATTGTTGTTGTTATAAGACTGTATTTGTAATAATCTTTACCATAGTGTTAACAAAAAATGCAAACTCATTGCCTTTGAGTTGGAACCAACTCAGAGCTGACCCTTCAGAGTGTTTTTAATGCTGTAAATCATACAGGATAAGTTTGCTTATCCTTCTCTATAAGAGCAAAGGAGCTCTAGAGGAGTGAATGTGAACCACCAAAGATGTACAGCTTTGAGGTTGGCAGGACCACTCTCTATTGATTATGCCATCTTGCATATATCTCAGTGGCTTCCTTGCTTACATTGTGCTATTGTAAATATTATGTATTGCCTTTTCCTTCATCAAAATTAGCATTTGGGATAGCTTAGTTAGTTATTCTTTCAGCCTGCCTTGGACACCCACAGTTACTATTAAGGAGTGTTTATTTTTGGAGATGCACTTTTTTTGCAGATCTGTAAAACAGTGTATATATAGTATGCAATTGACTTGTTATACTCAGCACATTGTACTCTAGATTCATCTACGTAGTGAAATGTTTAACAAAGTCATTATTATTCTTTAGCTTTGTACAGTATTCTGCTGTATGTATGGATCATTGTTTCTTTATTTGCTTATTCATCAGTAGACAGTTTGTTTCCCTTTTTAGCTATTGTGAATAATGCTATAAGTAACATGAATGCTCAAGTGTCTACTTATATCACAGCTCTTAATTCTCTGGGATACATGCTTAAGAGTAGTATAGCTGGACTCTTTAATACTTCTGCCTTCAGTACAGTAGACTAGCCGATATGGCAACTGAGGCTGTGCCCTCAAATATGGAAACACAAAGGAGGAGGAACAGTTGTAAGCTGACACTAGTGATTAGAACGTGGAGTGTGAGAAGCATGAATGTAGAAAAACTGAACACAGTTAAAGAAATGGCATGCATAAATATTGACACATTAGGTATTAGCAAAATGAGATGGATTGGCATGAGGCATTTTTAATCAGACAATTATATGATCCATTATGCTAAAGATGAGGTGAGGGAACATGGGGTTATTTTTATAGTTAAAAAAGTAATTCTAGATCCATTTTTAAATACAATGTTATGAGAGACAGGATGATATCCATACACATACAAGGAAGTCCAGTGAATACAACTATCATTAAAATATATGCACCAACAACTAGAGCTAAAGAGGTGGAAATAAAAGACCTCTATCAACTTCTGCAGTTGGAAATAGATAAAACATACATTAATAATAATGGATGACTGGAGTGCAAAAGTTGGAAACAGGAAAGAAGTATCAGTAGTTGGAAGACATGGACTTGGTGGCAGAAATGATGCTGAAGACAGAATGATACAATTCTGCATAGTCAATGACCTATTCATTGCAAATACTTATTATAAGAAAGAGAAATACACATGGATTTCACTTGATGATATGCGGAATAACATCAACTACATCTTTGTGAAGAATCACTATAGGACCTCGGTATCAGCTGTGAAAACTCACCCAGGTGCTGACTGTAGAACAGACCATCAACTACTCATATGCAAGTTCAAGCTGAAGCTGAAGAAGGTTCAGTTTGCTTAGTATAGATGAATTCAGCTTATGTTGATCTTGTACCTTAAACATTTCTATTAATTTCCCTTACATAGTATTTAAAGTGGTAAGGAGTTACGCTGCCAACCCAAAGGCATGTAGTTAGAAACCATTAGTGGCTTCACAGAAGAGAGATGGACAATCTCCTCTTGTCTGATGTATAGCCTCTGAAAACCTACTGAAGGGTCAGCTTGAGTCGGTTCTGACATGATGGTACATAACAACAACAATAACGACAACAACAACAACAACAACAACAAGCTTTCTAATGCTAACTGAAGTGGAACTTGAAAAAATTGTTATTATAAATAACAATACATCATCATTGATTAATAGTGAAAGATGTTAGTTTGACATTTGAATGGGAAAATATCCTTATTAATACTAGACAGAGTAGCATTGTAGTTGATTTTGTTTGAAGAGATAAAATGGTTTTTAAAAAACCTTAAGATATTTTGTTTTCTGTATAAATTAATATAACACTGAGATACAGTGTTTTCATTTATGATTTGTTGACTCAAGCTCTTGTCAAAGTCATTTTGATATTAAAGCCCATA